ATTACCATGAAGAAATCTTATAAAGTCTTCCATGTGAAGTTCTCTTCCAAGGTAACTTCTGCTCTGGGTATTGTGATTCTGGGGTCCAGATTGGACCTGTCTGCGCTGCTGAAGCTTAGGCAGGGCACAGGCATTCCTGTTCACACGACCTGACTCAGATAATTTTCTGCGCATTGCCAGATCCCACCCTCAAGAGGGCCAAAATCTAGAACAGAGGGAAGGTTTGCTGTTGTACGGAGGGATTCGCTTATTCCCAAGAGACTACACTCATTGGACCCTAAACTTTATCACAGGCTGCGTCTGTGCTTATTCCTTCCATTTTACCAGTGGTAAACCGAATTTCACAGGGTTCAGTTTGTCATTGGTATGAATAAACTATTCTACTATTTAGTGGCTTAAAGGCAACCATTCTTGGGCCCTCCCAGGTGATGCAATGAGTTAAAGTGTTAAAGTGCAGTACCATGAAGCTCCCTGCAGCCACTTCACTGGGATTTCCATCCCTGTTCAGGGAGAAGATCCCCATGGTGCTTCAGACCTCTCCCAACCTGCCCACTGCTCCCCTCAGTAGTGTACTTTGTTGATCTGCCAGTTCTGCTTCCCACTCTGCCTCTGATAAATTGTCTGACCCCAAACACCTCTGGCCTATCCCCCAGTTCTATATACATACATACATAAAATCTTAAAAAAAAAAAAAAGCAACATTCTTTGCCTCCTAAGTCCACAATTGGGTCAGGGCTCACCTCTGTGCCACATGATGTGTGCTGTAGCAGATCTATTGGTGTATCTAAGACTGTCTCTGCTGATGGCTCTATGGCCTGGGAGAGGGGGTACTTGTTCTCCAACTGAGGTAGGGTACATAATTACACTCGTCATATGATGGTCCAAAACTCTAGGGGAGCAGAGATGAAGATTGGCACAGCCATAGCATTGTTTCCACTGTACTTTGTGGTCAAAGCAAAAAACAGGGCTAGCCTAGATGGAAGCAGGGGGAGGGGAAAACAGACACCTTTCTTTTCTTTTCTTTTTTTTTTTAAAGATTTATGTATTTATTCATACAGAACTGGGGTACAGGCCAGAGATGCAGAAGGTGAGAGGATTCACCAGAGACAGAGTGGGGAGCAGAACAGGCATATCGACGAAGTACACTGCTGAGGGAAGCAGCGCAGGAGAGGTCTGCTGTGCCATGTTGTCACCTCCGGGGCAGGCAGGGATCGAACTCATGCTGAAGTGGCTTTAGCTTCTTAGTGCAGTGCTTTAACCCGCTGCGCCACCAGGGAGGGCCCTCTTTTTTTTTTTTTTTTTAAGATTTATTTATCCATACAAGAACTGGGATACAGACCAGAGGTATTGGGGGGAGAGTGAGAGGGTCCACCAGAGACAGAGTGGGGAGCAAAACAGGATCATCTACTGAAACACATTGCTGAGGGGAGCAGCAGGCGGGACAGGAGAGGTCTGCTGTGTCATGTGGGTCACCCCCCACCCTGGCCTGGGATCGAACTCATGCTGCAGTGGCTACAGATAGTTTCATAGTGCTGTGCTTCAATGCCTTGCACCACCAGGGAGGGCCCCAGGTGCCATATTTTAATTGAAGAAGCAGACTGCTGTCAATTAGCCCCACCCAGGGTCATATATTCTGATGGCTGAGGGGTTTCTAAGGTGGTAAGTCAGGTCGGAGCCAAAGTTACCCCACTCCCCGTGTTCCCTTCTCTTCCTCCTGGTTCCCTGGAGGACCAGGCCAGGGTACTGTGGGATTGACTCCATTCAATAGCTCTAGAGACTAAAAGCCCAGCTTCTTGTATATACTGTATGCTCAGCTGGAGACACTCCTACATCCTTTACTTCACAGATTGGCCTAACTTCCACTCCCTTATCCTTTATGGGGGAGTCTTTCTAGAGCTCCAAAGCCCTCCTCTGTGTTCAGAGCAGCCTCTAACTTCCTGATAACACTATCCTACACTCCAACTGCACCTAACCCACCCACCTCTCCAATTAAGATGCAAGCTTGTATCTCAAAACCCAGTCTGGTGAAGGAATCCAGTGAAGTGTTTTCTCCACACCACTTGCCATCCATCCTGAGACTGAGCGTAGCCGCTCAGGTCTCAGGATGTTTATTAGGAAGCTCTCCTGAGGTTGGCACCTGGTCAAACATGGGGAAGGAAGCAGGGTGGCTGCTGACTGGCCCCCACAGGGGATCCATCGGAGCTAGACAGAGGTTTACACTCTTGCCCTGATGGTCACCGGCATGTGGACCACACAACCTTGGGCCAAGTGGCTGTCTGCGGCAGACAGTGTCTGAGGATGCTGATGACAGAGGGTCTCTGCTCACAGCACTCCTTGTGCTAGTGTAATAGTTCTTTCTGGGAGGGGGATCAGAGGGGCAAATTTTCATTTTCCTCCCAGGGCAGAGAAGCAGTTGGGTTCTGGTAGTCCCTGAGAGCTGCTCATAAAAAAGTGGTCTGCCAGCTGTGACATGTGGCTGGAGGGAGGCAAGTTGAGAGAGCAAAGTGAAGGGAGGTTGTACACATGCATGCTTGAGGACTGTTGGAGCACCAGGCCAGGGCACTATGGGACTTGACTTCATTCAATAGCTCTAGGAACTGAAAGCCCAGCCCTCAGTGCCAGGCACTGTGCCATGTAGGTGGGGGTCTGAATACGGCCCAAGTGTGGGCATGGCATTGTGCCTTTCACTCCCTCTTAACTGACTCTGCCCTCTCGTGAGCCACTGTCCATATTACTTCCAGACTGAGCTTTCCCAAAATCACATATGCAGCTCTTTGCCAAGGGCGGCCAGC